TCCTGAATTTCATTGCACTAAATTCCCAAATATCCCCTATTCTCAGTTTCATTCCATATTAGTTGTCATTCTTTTCTGTGCTTGTATTTGCTAATTCATTTCCAGTGCAAAGTAAGACTATTGTTTCTTGGCTTTTGAACTTGTGGAAGGATGGCTGGATGGATAGATAGATGATAGATAGATAGATAGATAGATAGATAGATAGAGGTAGATATTGTAGAAAATTATGTACTTGGAATTGTTTTTAAAATTGAGGCCTATATTGACTTTGGGGATGGAAAAATAATGTATTTGAAGCTTTCTGGATGGTTAGATGTAATGGTCTTATACTAAGAGCTATCGTGCTATGCTGGCATCAGATAATAGCTCTTTGGCTGTGTGTATTCCTTATGCTAAGCCATAATGTAGATTTAGCTTAGTATATGTATGAAATGGCCACTGTGGCTTGCAAATTGTATTATATGGCTTTCATTACAGTGAAAGTTTGTATCACAGGTACGTACTACATCTTCCAAAACTACAAAAAATAAAATTCTGTCAAGCAAGTCTTGTAAAACTTTTGGGATCTTTGTTGCCAATGAATGTATTTTACAATTAAATAATTGTATAATTGAACTTTGCAAATGGCTTTAATAAATGACTGAAATTTGTTCTTATTTTATTCATATGACTTTTCAGCACAACTCATTTATTTGGTGTGAAAGAGTGTATTGTTTTTATAAACTTCTAAAGCTGGTAATCTGTTTCATTTGCTAGTTTCTATTGCTTTCTAACATCCTTCCCCAAGTTAGCCTTGTTTTCTGGGATGATGAGAGTTGTAATCCAATTTAGCTAGAGAGTATCACATTTGGGAAAACCCTCCTCTATCTGAGATTTGTTCTCATTGGATAGTCTGCAAACAAAAGGAAAAAAAAAATTTCAGGCTAAGACTGAAGTGCCATCTGATGGCAGTAGGGTTTTGTTTTTTTTTAAACTTCAAATATCATTTAGGGAAAAAAACAGCACAAAGCTAGCCAACTTTGGCTGATCTCAAAAACTCAGAAATCATCCTTGAAGAAAGCAGTGACAAACCACTTCTGTACTGATGGCTATTTACTACCTCCTGAATCATAGGCAGCATGTCTTATTTATTATTGGGAAGGGACAGTAGAAGGGGGATATTGTTCTCTAAGCTTTTGAGTTTCCCTAATTCATCCAGTTGGCCATTATGTGGTACAAAATGCTTGCCTAGGTGGGCCTATGGCCTGATTCACCAGGACTCATGTTTTTGTTGTCTCCAATGAAACTACATAGATAAATCCATGAAGTCACCAGGATTGAATTCAAATTGAAGACGACTTTCTTTTCCTAGTTATCCATCTATGAGGAAGATTGGCCTAAATAATAGCATAAGTAGTATCTAGTAGTGCAAGTTTTCTCCTCCCTCTTTAGTAATATCAATCCCCATACAATAATTTGACAAGTAAGTATAGAAATAGTAATCACAAAATTTATTCAGTACATCTAGGCAAAAGGCACAACGAACTGCATTATTCAAGTATTTGTATAGGTGCACAAAAATCATACTGTAAACTGTAAGACAAAGTGGTGAGACATGTTAAAAGGCTTCCCCAGAATAAACATGAAAAATCTTATAGTGCAGTCTAGGACTGTACAGTACTTCAGCTATAAAGGCAAAAAGAGCACTTTGGAACTCCTTTAACCAAATATATCTTTTCCTGTGATCATGCAGTAACTATGATCTCAAGAAAATGCATGGCTTGCAAAAAGTTCCATGTTTGCCTCTCCCTCCCTCCCCTCATGCCCCAGCCAATACTGTGAATCCTTTTGCCTTTGAATCCAAAGCACTGCAGAGCTCTAGTGTTTTCTAAACTTGGAAATAAGCTCCACAGGATTTTAGGAACACAATCCTGATTCAATATTTATAGGGCTATGGCCACATCTAACACTTTTCTCCCAATCTATGCCATACGCATGAAAAAACAAAATTATGTGATGGTATTGAACATACTGTCAATGTTGTTAAGGCGTATGGTTAAGACTGTCAATTCCTGCACCTGAAAAGTCTCCTCTAGAACATAAGTTTGAGATGTACCAAAATTCCCTCCATCATGCAGTAACTGCAGGAGCACCATTTCTTTTCTCTCCCATTTTTTTTTGATCAGACAGGAAATTTTCTCTTATCCACAAGAAGTAAAGGGAGAAGACACCATTGTATTTCTGCACTAGTGAGAAGGGAGCAGGATGCTAATTGCTTACTTTCAGAACTTAGTTCTAAAGTCTCTTGTGTCCCTCTTAAGAACTAGCCATCTGATTAAAAAATATCCTTTTGGCTGTAAAAACATTCTTGGAAATACAGCCACTTTGAAGCAATATGAGATAGGCCAAATTAGGGTTAGTGGAAGAAATGGCAAGATTGTATATATGTTTACTCAATGTGCTAAATTAAGAATACGATCTGTTGTGTCTTCACCTGTTGTGGACCTAAGTAGAGGATTTTTAGTAGGATTCTGCAAGGTTTTAGATTTCATTTTGGAAACAGTCTTTCAGATTATGCAAGACTGAGAACGTAGGATGCGCTTGTACTTCATCAAGGCACAAAGCATCTGTGCAGAATCAAATCTGCACAGTCATAATTTTTAATGACATTATAGTGACACTATTGAAGATTTAACTTTCAAGGGACCAAGAGTAACTGAACGATGGCTGCATTTTCTGGAGAAATACTTTCTCTTATAAAAATACTTTCCTCTTATAAAAGGGGAGGACCAGTTGCTGGACTGGTGTAGTTTTGAAACACACGCATAGGAATATGGCCTTAAAACTCTAATTTCAGCTGTTGCAAGCATGGAGCAAAAGAGTTGTTTGGTTCAAGAGTTTGGTTTTGAAGTCAGAGCAAAACACAGTAGTTTTTAGAGTGTGAAATGATCTTGGCAGCTTTGAATGGAGTCCTTTTCAGCGTTTCATCTGTTCCAAGAACTGTGGTTGAGCTATTGCGTTGCTGCTTGTGATTAGGCTCCTTTTTCTCACTTTTTCAGCATACCAGCAGAATAGCAAGAACTAGTGATACTGTTACCGTGGAGTCCTTGGAGTTCCCCAAGAACTCCACAGTTCAACCCTGAGCTACACATATTCTCTTCTATTGATGCTGTTACTGTTCATACTGGATGAGAAGATGTGGAAGTGGATTGTAGAGAGGAAAGAAGCAGTGAAGTACATGGCTAGATCAGAACTCTGTTCCCCTGTTTCCTATCGGGACTTAACGTTTTCAAAAAAGTGTGGGGTTTTTTTTTTAGCTTTTACTTCATCAAATTTTGTGCATTTTGGTTGGTACATAGCACTTGGCATAAAATGCTAATCTACAAACTTCTGTAGCCTTGGCATGAAAAACAAGGACACAAGTTGATCTAGAGTTCCCATTGAATCCTATGATCAGAATACTTTAACAGTTTTAGGTTTTGTCCAACAGAATGAAATTTTTCAAATTGTTCTAGTACAACACGTTTAAGTAGAAGTGTCTTGATGGTGTGTATTGGGGGGGCTATTTTGTTCTGAGCAAAAAACACAACATGTTTTCTATTCTGTGCACACTTCAGCGCCTATGGCCCTTCATTCAGAATATTTTAAATATAAAGGGGCTATAAAACTCTTCATTCATGTTACAAGTAACCACTCAGTGTTGCTAGGAATTGAGCACCGGAGAAGGATCATGGGAAGGATTTGCCCTGCTTGTGGCTACAAATATTCAGTAGGAAACATATTTTGTAAACTGGCAACAATGTAGGTATGCAGTTAAAATACTATTTGATAATCACAACATTAATCAAAAGCTGCTGATGCCCAACTTGAGAACACATTCTCAGGAACATAATTTTGGATTTCCATTTGGACTGCTGAACTAGCATTCGGGGTAACTGGATTATATTCATTCTGTCACAGTTCAGATGCTTATGGTTAAAACTGGGGTAAGTTTTAGAAAGAAAGACAGAAAAAAAAAATGGGTACTGCACCTAACATATCATATGCACCATGTCTCGATATCACCTAGACTGGCCATGGCGGTTCTAAGTCATCAGAAACCAAACAGCATTTCTTTAGCACCAACATATTGCAAAACAACTGAAAAAAAAAATTCCACAGGATAAAGGCAGCCCCTTTTAAAACCTGAGACAACATCTGTGAAGCCTTGGATATGCATCGGTATTACAGCTGTATCACTGGAATTCAAGGTGGTTTAAAGTGCATAGCCAGCTTGCACTGTGGTGCAGCTATATGAAAGATAGACTTTAATCAGCTGCCCAACAGCACCATGGATTAAAAAGCTCATTTTTGAGGCAAGTGGTGGGCCTCTAATTAAGCTGGATGAAATGGAATGGGGAACCCATAAACCCATGAATGTTGGATGAGTAAGATGACATGGCAGCAAAACACTGATTAACAGGACACCTATACATAGTTCTCTATTGCATTTTAATCAGGAAATTCCCCATTATAATGGTATTATAAAGGTTATTGTGGTACCGTATCTGATGACTTGTTCACACTATAAATTTGCTATATTCTTTATGCCAATCCCAAATCAGAAAGTATAAAAAGTCATTTGTTACATTAAGGACAGTTTTGAATTGTTTTAAGTGAATAAGCACAGTCTATGTGAAAGATAAATAAATTTAAAAAAAGAAAAAACTTAAGCAGAGTATCTTGGTAATATTGAGGGGCAGCAGTGACAAGAGCCTGAATAATTTCTCTCATCTTTTTTTTTTCCCCCCTCATGAAGGTAAAGTCCTTGTAGCAAAATCCATGAGTATCTCATGGTATATGAGGTACGGGAGGTGGTGTGCTGGTAAATGCTGACTGGTGTGCTAGGCATAGTAGCACAGCTCTGTTCTCAGCCAGCTCACAAAATGCAAGAAAATGTAACAATTGGTTCTCATAAGCTAGTACGAGCCAGCTCCAGCACACCGCTGGGTATGGGACAAGGGTTTGCTACATCCCTCAGAGCAAAATAATTTCAAAAATTCTCTTTTTTGTACCCTCTCCAACTGTACCGCAAAATTTTACTTCCTGTCATTTTAAGACAGACAATAAATAAACTCTAAAGTTAGCCTAAAAACAGGCATAATACAACTTTAAAAACCCACCCCACCCACAAAAAACAGGAAAAAAATCCTGCCCCTGCCCCATGCATGCTAAAGCCCAACCTAATTTTTGTTGTTTCCTTCTATACTCTAGTCCCCTCCTAAAACTGCCCACCCTCCCCTTCATATAAAAATGTTTATGAACTTTCTCCAACATATTTTATTTCAGAGTAGAGAAGGGTATCCTATTAGAAGCATCTCTCCATCCTTTACTTTCTGATGGAATCTCCCCCTGTAATACTTTTCATGGGGTAAAAAGCTCACCGAACATTTTCCAAAGTTGCTGTGACATCTCAGAGATACATAAAGATCAGATGCAGCAGAGAAGAAATGATGCCAGGACCATCAAGGTTGAAGGGAACCATCTGCCATCACAAATACACTTCTGTGTAGCTGGTCAGTGCTTGTTAAGATTCCAAAGGCAAATAGGGCTGAGTAGTCCTCAGAGGGCTGTGGAAGTTCAAGGCAAAGTATGGACTCACTGCACTTACATTGCTAAAGTTTCTAAATCCTGAAAACTATAGACTGAAAAAACTTTGGACTGACAGCTGACTCCATAGAAGAATACAACAGGTTAAATATATGTAAGTAGAAGGTTCCTTAAAGGGAAAGAAAATTCTTCTCTTAAATGCATATATAGCAAAATTCCTCAAACTGGGAAACTCTTCCATATGATCTTTAGTTTGGGAGGAACTCTCACCAGCCATGAGATGATGTAAGGGGAGCATATCTCTCTCTTCTTCAAAGTACTTCACATTTTGTTCCAAAAATTATACAAGTGTTCAAAGATAGATATATTAGCTCCATTATGAGATGTTGATTAAAATCAATCTGTCTACTGTTGAAACAATGAATTACAAGAAGCAAATTAAGGCCTCTGCTTCTCTCTTTTTGCATGTTGCATGATAATGAATGCATGCCAATTTAAACAATAAATGTTGTAATGGAGAAAAGTCCTTGATATGTACTGGTAGATCGCTAGACCTTTTCTAGAGAGTTGCATCTCCCCATGCCACACAGTATAGATCTTTTCCTAAAGGTTGCTCTGAAACTGGCCTCGGTTATTTTAGCCCTGAGACTTGTACAAATTGAAACAAAGCCCTTGGAAAATTCCAGGTCAAACCAAAAGGAATTGGTGTAGATTTTAGAACTGTAAGACAAACTTCAGGTTCTGAACTTCAGAGTATTCGCTGCTCCAAGATTCCTAATGGCTCGATTCTACAAAAGATAAAAGAACTGTAAGTATTTGTTTTGTCTTAGATAGGGGAAACTAGAGAGATACTTGCATTTAGAACAATGGATAAGAATCATAGCTCTTGCATGCAAACATTTTAAATCTCATGTAACTTGTTTTCATAAATGAACTCTGGCCTGATCCACATGTGAACGTTAGGTCTGCTGAATGCAATAAAATATTATTTATTTATTTATTAAACTTGTCCCTGCCCATCTCCCCCCAATGGGGGACTCTGGGCGGCTTACAACATATTAAAAGGGGACTCTGGGCGGCTTACAACATATTAAAAGGGGACTCTGGGCGGCTTACAACATATTAAAAGGGGACTCTGGGCGGCTTACAACATATTAAAACAATAAATAAATATACAGTTAAAATTTATAAGAGAACACATTTACAAAGAATAAAAGGAAAAGGAAAAATCCAAGAGGCCAATGGAAGCAATACCA